CGATAGTCCGATTGCTGTGTACAGAATGGGCCAACTTTGTCAAAAGCTTATGTTAGAAAATACTATAACTTTATGGCAGTTTACCACGACTCATCGGCCACGGAGGAGAGCTGGGCGCTCCGGCGATGGAAGCGGCGTAGCCATGCGGTCGTTGGTAGTGATGATGCGACCAACCGACCGGTGCATAAGTGTTTTGCAAGTGTCCAGGATGGGGATAAGAGGCCGCATATTGGCCAGGATAGCCCATCTGATGCCAGGAGGCTGCAGCGGAATCGCGGCCGGCTGGAGAGTCTGAGGGGTCAGAGCTGAGCGAGTCGGCCCGACTACTGCGACCCGTCTCTCTGGTTGTTTGGTGAGGATGAGGATGAGGCTGCGGCGGTTGAGGGTAGGCCTGTGGGGAGTGGAAGAGGTACGAGTGCCCCTGGCCGCTGGGGTAGACGTATGCGTGTCGGCCGGAGGCGGGGGGATAGCCGGGCTGCCGGAGGGCACGGACTTGGGAAATCCGGTCGGTCGGGACTGGGCAGCCTCGAGGGAGTCCACTTCGTCCGGGCATGGCGGTCGGAGCACTGGAACCAACCTCTTCGGGCCAGCGCCAGTTGAGAAATCGGCCCGAGGGACCATCGTCGCCGGGCTCCGCTGCCTGATCGAGAGATTGATGCCTGGAGAAATAAGTGCAAGTGAAGAAGCGCAAAATTATTAATTATTATTAATTATTATTATTATTATTAATTATTAATAACAACCGTTTTTGACCATTAGTTAAACCAAACCTTCCCTTTTTTCGTGGACTTCATTATTTTTCTGAGATTACGCAACCCCCGTCCTGCCTCTCATATGGCGGTTAAACGTTAATGACTCTAGACTCAGAAGTTAGGACAAGTGGTTTCGTAACTTGACTTATGTGCTTAAAACATACATCTCATTATCTCAATCATACTTACTTACGGACTTAGACAGTCTCGGTCAAGGCTTTTTCTTGTCTGTTAGGCTTCGATGATCAAAGCCTGACATAAGCCTTTTGATAACTCTGATGTAGGACCGGTATTGCTTATATACGCTAACACATACACACACACACACAT